GGACAGGGGTGGTTGGGGAGAGGGGGGGAGGGGGTTCAGGCGCGCCAGGAGGCGGGGCAAGTGGTATGTGCACGAAGCAGGTCTTGGGGGGGGGGGCAACCATCTGCCCACTTGTGCGATCCCGCACACCCACGCCCGCTCACAGTCCTCCCTTATTCCATGCGCATGAGGCGACTGCCCTGAGAGGGTCAGCGGGCGCCCGTGCGCCGCGGCGTCCGCACACGCCATGCCGCACACAACCGGGCTTCGCACCCCCCTCTCTATTGAGCGGCGACGCGCCCTTTTGCCCAGCGGCGACCGGCCCACCATTGAGGAAGAAGATGACGGGCAGCTGCTTCTCCCCGGCCGGGGCCACGGCCGGGGCGGCCTGTGGCGCGCGCGCGGGCGGCCTGGGGCGCCAGATTACAAAGGTGACGGGCGTCTCCGCACTGCTGTTCGGGGCCGGCCGGTGGCGCAGGACCACTTGCTGGGGCTCTGACAGGGCTGATGAGGTCGCGGGCGCCGGCTGCTGCTGGGGTGGGGGGTCCGCCGGCCCCTGCGCCTCCTTGGGGCCAGGGCCGCGCGCTTGGCCGCGCAGCAAAGGCACCAGCTGGCCGACCATGGTGGGCGTGCCGTGTGCGCGCAGCAGCTGCGGTGCAGGCAGCGCACAGCCGGCCGGGCCACATTCTTAGGTGACAAAGTTGTGAGACAGCCGTGTGATATTGGCAGGGACAAAAGCGGTGTGGAAGCAAGGAGGCGCATGCATGCACCTCCTCACAGCTCAACTCACCGCCAAGTCACCGGCTGCACTGGGTGTCCAAGCTGCTGCAGCCAGCAGGCAGACAACCCAAGAGAATTTCAGTGTCCCATGCGCCATATTGCGTCCGGGTCGGACCAACAAGAAGGCTACTAGTGATTCTAGCGTCCTACCCAGCAATATCATTGGTGCAGGCGGATTTTGCGCGTCTCGAAGGTCTATGTTTCCATTGATTTGGGCATCTTTGATTAAATCACAAACGCCTGGTCCACCTCCTGGGATTATGGGACTGTTGCAGCAACTGAGTCAGCTGGTGCGACCGGCCACAAGTTGCCCCAAAAGCACGCATCTTACGATCATGAAGGGCACCCCTAGTAAAGATTGCGGCCTTTCGAAATGACGACAATTCAACGCGTAGCAAGCTCCTAAAAGAGCCTCGACTCTGCACCTGATGCAGCTGTTGCCATGGTCATGTCTTGTCAGCAGAGTCGCTGGCGCAACACTGTCGCCGCACGCACTGTTGCCAGCTGAGACGCTGCTGGTGCTCGCTGAAGCGGCTGTGCAGTGGCGTGGCCCTGCAAACCCATCCACAGCCATCGAGCTGCGCCGCCGGCGACCTCGCCGCAGGCGCTGACACACAGATGCGCATTACCTCGCCCCACTCAGAAGGCGCTGGTGCCCGCATGCCCGCCGGCTGGAGACCTCAATGCCTGGATGGCGGCAGACAAGCTGTGATGCGCGATGCCACTCGCTGCAGGTGCCCCTCGCTGCGCCGCGCTGCGCCGCCACCAGGGCGGCCCGCAGTGGCGGTCAGGAGGCCGCTGTACACCCGATCTCATGCGTGACTGTAGTCACGCAGCGAGCTCCGACAAGAACATAGATCCAGACCATATCACACGCATGGGCTCACCGTGGCCCTGGCGCATGGTCCCAGCCGCAGGCTAGGGGAGGCCACCGCTCCCCTATCAAACGTCGCCAGCCTCCATCATGACTTCTTGGCTGATCCTGCAGCCCGGCCTCAACTGAGCCATACCCCGGCCTGTTCCCGGTGGCTTGTGACTCTCGCCATCAGGCCGCCATCAGCCTGCCCAAACGGATCCAAGCGATGAGCAGGCCAGCTGTTTGGCGATGGGGCCCGTCACAGCAGCAGCGCTGCACTTGACAATACCCAGCAGGTGCCTGAGCACTCATACTCACGATACTTAACATGCTTATCACTAACACTGGCAAATCAGTAACTTCTTTGAACTTATGATTGTTCAAAGCCGACCACCACCGCAATGCATGTTGATGGCCCATCGCAGGTCAATCAGGTGAGCGCCGAGCTCGCTGCTGGCTGCAGCCGACGAGCTGACGAGTGCGTTCCAACTCTGGACGGGTGCGGCACTCACTAGAGATCTCCAATGTAAAATGAGGCCACAATGTAATGATGCAGCTGATCTAGAAGGCAGCACGAGCCGTGGGAGCGAGCGGCTGTGGTACAGCTCCACAGTACTGGGTGGGCGTCACCTGGGTGAGTCGTTCATTTGGCTGCCCTGCTTCACACTGCTGGATACGTGCGCTATCCTGCTCACGACTTGACATATATCGCTTACACCACAACACGGCACACTGTATCAGCTTGAGCACAGTACAGAGTAGATTCGCGTACAAAGTCCATCCACAATGGCCGTCCGCCATCACGCCTGGGGGGCAGCTGGATCTAGAAGCTCTATTAGGGCATAGGGAATGGATACAATTGTTGGTGATCCCTTTGGCAGGTGATCATGGCTGAGTGTTGCCGTGGGCCTGTGTCGTGCTGCTTTGCCGCGGCGCCGCCGCACATCCGCAGGGTCACTCCGCCACGTCTTGCAACCACAGGCTCGTCCTGAGCACCCAGGAGCCTTCAGAGGCGGGCTGGCCGGCAGCCATATGGAACGCGCGGATGTGCAGGCTGCTGGCGGGGCCGGGGCCGCGTGGCGCGGCGGGCGGCAGCGACAGCCCCAGGGTGCGCGGTCCTGGGGCGGGGGCGCGCCGACCTCTCAGCCCGAAACATGACTGTCCTTCCATCCTGGGGCATAGGTCGGAATGCATCACTTGGTCTGGAGCACAGCCATGCTTCACATCACGTCGTCCGCATGTGTCCGAGTTGATTCATTCCAAACCCGGTTGAACCCCCAAACCAATGGGCGCGCTTAGGCACAGCTACTAGTCGAGGTGGCCGTGAACAGCAGCGGTGACATCAGCGTCGCGCTGTCCCCTGCCCCCAACGACGCCGCGGCGGGCGCGGGCACGGGCGGGGCGGCGGCGGCGTGGCGAGCGGCGGAGGCCGCGCAAGGGTGCGGGCTGTCAGCGGTGGCGTCTGTACCAAACTGTGCTCGGTTTGTGAAGGTGGACGGGGCATGGTCAGGGTAGTTTGGGGATCGACAGGTGTGACCAGGCTCCCACAGTGAAGAAGCCCCCCCTCCTGACCCCTCACCCGGCAGACGGCCCTTCTTGCGTGCGCATGCTTCAGCATCACTGCGCTGCAACATCGCTTGGGGCCCCTGAATGCGTCCCGTGGCCGCCGCACACGCAGGTGCCCAGCATCTCCCGGCCCACTGGTGCCAACCCCGACGCCGCATCGCCGCCGGCCGCGCCGGCTGCCGCAGCGGGTGGGCCTCCGCTGACAACACCCTGTGCCGGCGGCGCAGGGGGCGCTACCGATTGCGGCGCAAAGGGTCGCGGCCGGCTGGGTGCCGCGCCAGGCGACGCGGCTTTGGAGGCGTATGCTGCTCAGGCGGCGCGCCTCACGGCGCTGTTCCTGCTGCTCTATCCAGAACAGGCGGCTGTGGCGCTACAGCGGCGACCACCGCAGCATGGGTTGCGAGACACTCAGCAGCAGCAGCAGCAGCAGCAGCAGCAGCAGCAGCAGCAGCAGCAGCAGCAGCAGCAGCAGCAGCAGCAGCAGCAGCAGCAGCAGCAGCAGCATCTGGAGCAGCAAGTGGTGCAGCAGCAGCAGGAGGAGGAGCCGGGGCAGCAGTTGCGCAATGTGGAGCAGCAAGGACATGGCGTAGCTGGAATGCAGGTTGGTGGGCAGGATGGCGATGCGCCGCAACTGCCCGGGCCACAGGCGCCGCAGCATATGCCCCAACAGCAGCAGCAGCAGCAGCAGCAGCAGCAGCAGCAGCAGCAGCAGCAGCAGCAGCAGCAGCAGCAGCAGCAGCAGCTGCAGCAGCCGCTGCCCGGGGAGGAGGCCGCTGTGGAGCGGGCGCCGGCTGCCGGGGGAGCGCCAAGCGGCGATGCTGTGCGGTGCTCGGCGAGGCAGCTTCTGGCCAGCTTCTCCTCCCAAGTGGCTGGCAGGTGCCCGCCATCCTCAGCGGCGCCGGTCCAGCAGCAGCAGCAAGAAGGCCGGTCGGCAGCGCAAGCCCAAGACGCCGCATCCGCAAACACAGCCGAGGTGGTGCTCGGCCCCCGCCCGAAGGTGTCGGCGCTGCTGCAGCCGCTGGCGCACCAGCAGTGCGGCCTGGCGGCCGGCGGCGCGCCGTTCCTGGCGGGGGCGCTGCCGGTGCTGTCTCACGGCGGCGGCGGCAGCAGCGGCGGCGGGGCCGGCAAGACGGGGCCCTTGGACTTGATAGAGCAGCTCGTGGCGCCACCGATGCACCTCGGCGGCGCCATCGCGGTTCCGCCAGGTCAGCAGGGCCTGCCGGCGCTGACGCCGCCCGCCGGCCTCCTGCTGCTGCTGCTCCTGCGGTCAGAGGCGCACGGCAGGCCTGCGGTGGGGAGCGCCAGGGGGCGGGCCGGGACTGTGGTCGGGGTGGCGGCGGCAGCGGCGGGCGGGCAGCAGCAACCGCTGGAGGCTGAGCTGGCGGCGAGGCTCGCTGAGCTGGCGGCCGCCTATGGGCTCGACGAGCCCGAGCGGCTGTTGGCGGCGCTTGGCACCTCACATGCGGGGCTTGCCGCGGCGAGCTCAAGGGGCGAAAGTGGCGCAGCAGTGGTGGCGGCGGCGGCGACAAATGTCGATGCCTGCTGCGTCTGTGGGCACAACGGGGAGGTCGTCGTCATCAGCGGCGGCCGCGGCGCGGGTGGCGGCGACAGCGGCGACGCCTTGGTCGCCTGCAGGGCGTGCGCCGTGTGCGCGCACGCGCGCTGCCTGTCGGAGGCGCAGCGGCGCGCGACGCGGCTGGGGGCGGCGGCCGGTGCCGCCGCCCCGCAGGCGAGCTCCGGCGGGGGCGGCAACCAGGGCGGCAGCAGCGGCAGCGGCGGCGGCGGCGGGGGCTGGTGGGCGTGCCCGTGGTGCTGCGCGGTCGACCCAGCCCTCATGCAGGGCCGCCCCGCCGCCTCGCTGCAGCAGGGACGCCGCCGCAAGCAGCAGCGGCCGCAGGCGGTCAAGACGGTGAGCTCGCCGAGCACCTCGTCGCAGCAGCAGCAGCAGCAGCAGCAGCAGCAGCAGCAGCAAGCGCAACAGGAGGATCAGCAACACCAGCTTCGGCGGCAGCGGAAGCAGCAACAGCGGGAGCAGGAGCAGCGGCAGCAACAGGAGCAGAGGGAACAGCTCGAGCGAGAGCAGCAGGAGCAACAGCAGGAGCGGGAGCAGGAGCAGGAGGGGG